CCCGGGTCTCCCCCCCCCCCCCCCCCACCACCTTTGTTTAATAATCCCTTGCCTATTAGCTTAGAAAATGAAGTGAATTGATTTTCAAGATTCAACCTCTCATTGACTTTAATAGGGTTTGCATTAAGGTTTGCAACTGGAGAACTTTGAGGCATGTTTCCCAAACGCACCTGTGAATAGAACCAGAGCAAGTTGGCCCATCACTATTAAATGAGAACTATGAGGTGAGTGTTTTTCATAGAATAGAACCAGAGCAAGTTGGCCCATCACTATTAAACGAGAACTATGAGGTGAGTGTTTTTCACTCACCTTATAGTTCTAGCCGACCTGTGACAATGAGACTGTCACAGGTCGGCTCAGTAGATCGAGAAGTGAGCGAACAGATACCGGCGTTCGCTCACCTCTCGATCCTGTCACAGCTCTCTGCTGTGACAGGGGAGGGGCTGGATTACCCCCTCCCCGCTCTGATCCGCCAGCGCTGACTGGCGGATCGGACGGGGGAGGGGGCGGGAGGATGCTAGTTTGTGTCCTCCCGTTACCCTAAGGAGAACTATGGGGAAAAGCCTTAACCCCATAGTTCTCCTTTAAATACTGGGGGGGTGTTAGGTTTATAGATTGCACAAGGTAAATACATTGATACATTAGCATTTTAATTGATTAAGTTCCAGTTGTATAATATCGGGATAGTTTTAAAGATTAATAGGTTAATTTTGTTCCTAAATTGATTTACATCGATTGATAGGCTGCGCTGCTGTTTTATCAATCGATTGGTTAGTAAGGTACTATTTAGTTTTTATTGAGACCTGTTCTTTTTTTGTTTTCCGTTTTCCAGTCAAAGTGGATGCAAGCCCAATTGCTAATATCTCACATGAGCTTTAAAATGTAAACGTGATTTTAAAAGCAATTTTTTTTTTTAAATTTGCAGCTTTCATTAAAATTATACCTGGTTATGGGGTGCCAACTGTCTCCCAATAGCTCTCCAACATTGTCACTCTCTCACACACTATCCCAGTGGTGACTATAAACACCCAGATTGAATGAGTTTACAGGCGCTTGCTATTCTACTTTTGTGAGTATGTTTTTACTGTGTTTTTTCTGATAATAAATGATCTTGCACATGTTGGAACACTTTGTGCTTTTTGTTTTTAGAATTATTTAAAAAGAGTCAAACTCCGTAATATAGGAATCAATGTTTAAACTGCAATTAACCTAAAACTTTTTTTTTTTCAAAAATGCAAAAATAAACAATAAACCATTTACCTGTGTTATTGAGTCCAAATAAGAGGGGGCAAGAGATTGCAAATGACAGGACCCAAACCACTGTAATCATGACAGTCACTCTTCGTTTGGAACTGTAGCGAGTATTGTATAGCATCGGCATTGCCACTGCTGTATACCTAAAACAAGTAGATAATATAAACAATCTATAAACAAATATCAGGTGATCATATTTTACAGGCATGTACTCCTTTGTCCGTACATAATATGCTGTTATACTGTAAATGGTGGAGTTAGACGTCTATCCAGGAACTGTACCAACTAAGGATGAACAAAATGATTGCAGTAAATTCTATTTCACAGAAATTTCACAGTTGACAACATTTCTGGGAGATTAGTCTCTAGCTTAGCCAAACTTTGCATTAAACGTTCATCTTTAGGAAATTATTCCCAGGCTGGTTTGCAATGTTTTTGCATTTTTTTATCCTTATTTATTATTTGATTTATTTTTTCACATACAGAAAAAAAATCTAATATAAAGTGCAGAAACAATGTACTGTCACTTTAAGGGCCCTTTCACATCAGATGCATTGGGGCAACACTGGCTATCTTTTCCAGTGTAGCTGAAATTCAAGACAAGGCAATTTGATTGTTTCAGAAGGGCTCAGTTCAAGTAATTTAAATGTATTTTGGTAAAAAACAGTCAATGTAGCTCATCTCAAGTACCAAGCTATTATATTCCTAATGCCAAATTAAAAATGACTTGGAAAATTTGGTTCAGAAACCATGACTGCTGAGAAACCTGTCTAACATACTACTGAAAACCATGTAGCCTTGCCAAAAATAACACAGACTAGCCGAAGGCATATGCTTCGGCTCGACTGAGCCGAAGTGACAGCTGAAGCAGGGCAAATGGCCTGCTGAAGGCTGGCCGTTCGCCCCGCAAATGACAGCTGGATGGAGCCAGCCGTGATCTGATGATGCTGATCTGTCATTAAACAATAACAACTGAGCGGAGCCGGCCGTGATGTCCCAGCCGGCTCTGCTAAGTTGTTATTCATTGGCCGGGACCTGCTAGAAAACTCTGGCAGGTGGCGGCCAATAGTAAACAGTTGGGTAGAGCTAGCTGTTCCCTATATATGGCCAAACTGTGTGTCAGTAGTAAAGGATGAGTTGTTAATCCTATATCCTAAGGGGTCTATTCACGTAGCTGCCGAGGTATCTAGCCGTAGCTTCAGCTGATCCTTCGGCAAGCTTCGGCCCCAGGACCCCTTCGGTTCAGTGGAACCGAAGGGCTGCTGTATGGGCTATTCACTATTGAAAGCCGAAGCTGGCCGAGCGTCCGGCCATTGGCCGGCCGACAGCCTGCTACTGACTGCTGGGCGGAACCAGCCGTCATCTCACGGCTGGCTCCGGCCACTTGCACAGACAGACCAGAAAGGTTTACTCTGCTTGATCGAGCAGTGTAAACCTTTCCCTGCTGTTTTTTTTTTCTTCTTCTGAGCCGTTGGCTGCCGTCAGAATAGAAATAAAAATCACCTTAGGAATGCATAGCTAGATTCCTATTGGCTATTTCAAATTGCAATAGCCAATAGCAAACTAGCTATTGCACCCGCCCACTGCTGCTGTCAATCATCAGAGGTTACCTGAAGTTCTTCATCAGGTCCCCTCTAGTGATTGACAGCAGCAGAGGGCGGGTGCAATAGCTAGTTTGCTATTGGTTATTGCAAATTGAAATAGCCAATAGAAATCTAGCTATGCATTCCTATGGTGATTTTTTTATTCTGACGGCAGCAGAGCCGCCCGGCCAATAAAAAACAGTTGGGCGGAGCTAGCTGTCACTGCTAGCTCCGCCCAATCATTTTATATTTAATTTTTTACTACTTTTTTAACTGTTTTTCTATTCTGCTGGGTGCCACAGAGGTACTGAGCAGAATATCCGGGCCGAATGCCGCTCTGCGGCATTCGGCTATTCACTCACTGCTGTTCAGCATCAATGAGAATAAGCCAACAGCAGCGAGTAGCCTGCCGGAGGTTCGGCTTAGCTGATCCAGATGTTGGATCGGCTGAGTCGAACTCCTTCTGCACTTCGGATCGGCCGAACATGCTGTGCATGTTCGGCCGACCCAAAGCCGCACAAAGCAAGCTGATGTACGGCTGATTTCAGCCGATATACGGCTGAAATCAGCCCTACAAGCCTGAAGTGAATAGCCGAACAGCGTTCGGCTCACTTCACTTCGGGTCGTTTAGTCACTCGGCTAAATAAAAGGATTTACCACAGTTTATTAGTTTATAAAGGTGCAAGATCCAGGATTTGTAATCTTGATCCTGGCTTGCTTCCTAAGTGTGTTCTTGACCTGGAACAAGCATGCAGTTGTGTGGGATTAAAACAGGCCAATTCTGTATACCTGTTTTAGGTTAGTGACACACTGTATGATGTTGTTCTACCAAATATTCTTTTAGGTATAAGCAATGTGAAATGGCTTAGGACACCTGTACTTAGAAAAGCAGTCTGCTTTTACAGACCTTTTTATAAAAATGCTTGCTATCTTTCTGTCATGTCAATCCAATTTCAATACTTTCCAAATCACTGATCTGAACAAACATGCAGATCAGGCAAGTACAATTGAAGTCATAACTCCTAATCTACAAATTTGATCTGGGTCACTGATTCAAAAAGTTGTGAATCCTCAGATTCAACAATGACATCTACAAAGCCAGTAGTGATGATTCCTATATTCTGTTGTGGGCACCTCCAGGCACTGTCCAGTATCCTGAAATCACCAAATAAAATAAACGGTGGCAGCTTCCTAGTCACTGGTTATGACTTGCCAATGATACCCATTAAACCTTACGATTAGCCATTGATATCAGCATTCACAATAATATAGGTTTGAGAGGCATCAGCGGGTGGTCCAGAGCCAGTGAGCAGAAAAATGTATGTAGGAGAAAATCAAGCCACTACTAAGGGTTCCTGGGACACTGAAGAGATGAATAGACCTGGAAGTGCAGGAAACATTGGTTGAATTATATTTTTTACAGTTATTTTTCTGTGCTGCACAATATTGAAACATTTTGATTGTTTGTATTCAGTCATCTGTCAACTTAACAAGGCAGCTTGGGGGCTAAGCAAATAATGACTCAATAAAAGAGGCATGTATATTCCTACTTAAATTCAGGCATTCCTCCTTTATTTCTTCTAGGCCTGTGCAGTAATTCAGCATGAAACAAATCCTGTACTCTGCCACTGTGCAGGAGTTCCCTGTAAAAAAAAAAGGCCAACTAGTGCTACTCTTGCTCCTTGTGCAGGGTACCAGGTCTTGTATCCACCAGTGTAGTTTTTTGTAGTCAGCCTGCAGTGAGAGGAGCTGCTGGATCTCACCCACAGCTCTGCTGTCTGCACAGACTATGTGCTGCAGCACAGTGATGATGTCACCTCTACTTTTAAAAGGTAATGTCTGGGTTTAAAAATGATTTGATGCACCTAATGTGGATTAATAACTCTTATGGTTGTTTATGAATATATTTAAACTAGCTTTAAATTGTCCCCCGAGTTCTGCTTTTAACAATTAAAAGAATGTTCAGGGAATTCCTTGTTAAAAAACAATGCTAGCTCCTAATCAAAATGTAAACTATATTTGATTATATAGTGTGTGTGTATATTTATATATATATATATATATA